ATAAAAACCTGCTGCTGTCTTTTTTCTGTAAGTAGCTTGCTCTCTCTTGACTAACTGCTAACTTCCTTAGCTGAAGCCCCAATTCAGGTGAGTGTCCCCCGCATAAGCTGTTCTTGTGTAGGAGTATGTATACTTGTAATATTTGGCCTAGTCTTTCTATTGTCTTTGGGTCAAAAGATCCTGTTGTATCACTTGGGTTGGGCAAACATAAAAGGCATAGGGAAAATGCTGAGCTTGGGAAAGCAATCAGGTACAATTCAAGGAGCACAGAGAAGAGGTAAGAGACTCAGTTCCAGTGGTAACTGTTCCGAGGTGTCTGAGGGACCAAAAGGACCTGGAATTCACTCTGCAGTCAGCTTTCCCATGGGTTGAGCAGGGGAGAGGCCTGTAATCTTATGGTCCCCAAGATTTCTCCAACACTCACTGTCAGATGAGTTCAGATGAAAATTCCAGAACACAGTGACTCCCCCTGTCCCCTTGCTCCCATGTGGGAAGATATTCTCTTCTTAGAAGGATTATGTGCTGATTCATTGAAGAAAGAAAGGATCTTGCTGCAGCCAGAAATAGAGGTCAAATCTGAACACTGTAGAACAAAGTTCTTGGCACTTGCTCTGTTACAAGTAAATGTTACAACCAGAGCATTCCAGGTTAGTTTAGGGCAAGTGTGTAGGCATGGCCTGGAGGCCGGGAAATGCCTGAAATATGCGCAGGCTGAAGTCAGTAGCTGCAGGTCAAAGGGAAGAACCAGAGAAAGCTTTCCAGATAGAAGCCTGGGGGAGGGGAAAGGCCACTGGTCCCTACCTGAAGTTACTGCTCCCTGCCAGATAATCTGTTGGCCACATTCACATTACATGGCACCTGTGTCCCTGCAGGATTCCACACACATGTAATACAGTTAGCTAAGAGGAATGGCGGAGGGCCTCCCAACAAAGCAGTAGGTGGCGCTTCATTGACCCAGCATCACCAGGAGATGAAAGGGGCAGCACAGAAAGCAGGGCCTACACTCTAGGATCCTATAAACCTGATTTCCAGCCCAGCTCCTTGTTAGTTGTGTGGGCTTGGCCCCACCTCCTGAGGCCTTTTACTTTTCATCTGCTATGTTGATAAGATTCTGTGGAGTAAAGTATGACACATTGTCCAGAACACAGGAAACACTCCAGAAATGGAGTGATCATTATTATTGCATGTAGGGGTAACTGAAAAGCCTGTAAATTGTCTTTTCTTCATTTTTCTCTCCCACTATTTCCTATGCATTTCAGCAAAGCCTCACAGATTTGCTTAGCATCTTAGGCACATATTGTGTACGCCTTCCTTTTAAGATCAAAGAGTCTATTTAAACCCCCACTCCCACTGCCCCTCCCATACTAGGGACTGAACCCAGAACCTCATGCATGCCAGCAGTCTTTTTTGTTTTTGAAGGGTTTTGGGTGCTACACAAGGACTCTGCCACTGGCTATACTCCCCAGCCCCCACTTCAGTCATTTTGATGGGTCTCTTCCTACAAATGAGATACAGGCTTCTTGCCTGTCCATCATCCACACGGTCAGCTGTCTGTAACCATGGGTTCCCTAATCTTAGATCTATCCAATCTTGGGTTGAAAAAAATTTTTATGTTACTGGAGATTGAGCCCAGAGTCTTCGCATTGAGCCACATTTCCAGCTTCCTTCTCCTATTTATTTTTTAGACAGGGTCTTGGTAAGTCATTAGGTTGCCCAAACTAGGCAATTACAAAACTTGGAATTTTCCTGTCTCAGCCTCCTAGAGTACTGATATAACAGGAGCGTGCCACCACGCCCAGCTTCAGATTGAAAATATTTGAAAAAAGTTTTGTCTGTACTGAACATATACAGACCTTAATATTCCTTAAATAATGCAGTGTAACTAGTTATATGGCATTTTCATTGTATTAGGTACTATAATCTAGACATGATTTAAAGTACACAGGATGTGCATAGATTATAAGCAATACTATGCCATTTTATATAAGGGATTTGAACATCTGCAGACTTTGATGTCATTGGAGGTAGGGGAGGGGTCCTAGAACTAATTCCAGGGGACACCAAGGGATGACTGGTCTTGGCAGTTCATGGTTCAGCTACTCAGCCTTCGGCAGTCCTGGGTCTTTCCTGGTGCCATCAGTCAGTTGTTACTTCACTCCTATGAGGCTGTGCCTCCAGTACGTTGCAAAGTGGGGGATCCCATCAAGCTCCTTCTCATGGTTCATGTGTCCCTCTTATGTGGCCTTTGAGGGGCCCTGCCATGTGGACCCGCGCCTTTTATCTCAATGACTCATTTACACCAACTGATGCATGTGCCAAAAGTACACTGCAAGGCAGAGGGTGGAGATCTGGTACCTACCATCAGGAAATTCCCAGCCTAGTGAGCTGAAATGGCTCAGCAAGTAAGCAGTATCACATCACAGAAGAGCAGTAACAGGATAACAGGATGTGTGTGTGTGTGTGTGTGTGTGTGTGTGTGTGTGTGTCTGAAGAGAAAGGTGAGGCCATATCATTTTTATTTAACAGGTGAAGAAACAGTCGCAGGAGACACACAGCTGGCAGGGCTGGAATTTAAACCCAGGTCCTCTCACCTCCAAGCCTATTGCTTTCCCCCTCTATATCAAGGCCTGGTTATACCTATACCTGTATATCTGGTGGTGGGCTTCTGATGTGCATGCACTTATGTTCTATATCTCAGTCCATTTTATTGCTGTAACAAAACACCTGAGATAAAGAAATGTATAAGAATAGAAATTTATTTGACTTATAGTGCTGGTGGCTGGGAAGTCCAGGAACATGGCACTGGCACCTGGTGAGGGCCTTCTTGCTGTATCGTGACATGGTAGAGGGTATCATCATATGGAGGGACAGAGTAAGCATGCTAGCACGGGTCTCTTTCTTTTCCTGTAAAGGCCACTCAGGCCATCGTGGGGGTCCCATCCTCATGATCTCATCTAATCCTTATTACCAGCCAAAGGCCCCACCTCCCAAATATTTCTAATATAAAGCTTTAGGGATTAAGATTTCAGTACATGAAATTGTTGGGGAGGACTTTCAAATCATAGCAACATCTAATCAAATCGTATATTTCCTGAGAGCTGAGATCTGCACCTAGGCAGCAGGGATGGACAGAGCTGGACGGGTCTGAGGGACAGGTTAGATGGAAAAGTGGGAGAATTGGGTGATGGTGGAGGAGGAAAGCATTGAGTTAGGCTTCAGAGTTTGGCTTGGGTAATGGGTAGAAGGAAATACCCATCAAAGAGGACTGCAAGGGAGCAGGCAGAGGGAACAGGCTCAAGAGCAGGTGTTTCAGGTTCAGCTCTGACAGGCATGTGACCCAGGATTCTACCTCATAACCCACCCTTCCTTGCCAGATCATTCTGAGTCTTTTCCTCCTGGTCATCTGTGGACATGTGACAAAAACTGGGGTCAATTTTGGCTTTACATGCTGGATACTCAGGATCACAAATGATCATGCCATATGATTAGAACAGCCCGGAGTTGTACACAGCACCATCACTCAGGCAGGTGGCTTGGGAGCATGGTGAAGAAGACTCTTATCCAGGAATGTGAGAACAGCCACTTGAGGAAAAAATAATCATTTACTGCCTTCTTATTAGTAAATCCTTTCATATACATACATCTTCCAACTACCCTGGGAGATAGCTTCCCATTTTATAGATAAGAAGACTGACGCTTTTGAGAGAAGCACTGGTTTGTCTGAGGGAAGGGAAGGTGAAAAAGGAAAATTCCATGCCAAGAATCAACCACTATTCTTTCATATATATTAACAAATCTAATCTTTCAAAATCTCTACATGCAACATCAATAGCTGCATTTTAGGAGCTCTAAATAAGTTCAGATGAACAGCATGTGCAAACATTCTTAACTGATAGAGTTTGCAAAGTTCCAAGAACTACACAATGGTTATGCAGGATCATGTGGGCTGCATTCAAGTTTTTTTGTTTTGTTTTGTTTTTTGTACCGGGGATCAAACTCAGGTCCTTCCACTTGTGAGGCAGGTGGTGGAACCACTGAGCTAAATCCCCAGCCCAAAAGGAAACTTGGAACCTTTTCTTTTTGGGTACTGGAGATCGAACTCAGGACCTTGCACTTTCAAGTGAATCCAAATTTTTTGAGGGATTAGAGATAGGGATCAAACCCAAGGCCCTGTGCATACTAGGTAAGTGTTCTACCATTGAGCTATGTATCCCAGCCTCATATCTAAGATTTTGAAGCTCAAATCTTCAGAAAATTCTAAGTAAGTGAGAGAAACAATTGGAGTGTTTTGTTTTGTTTTTTTAAAAAGATTCCAACTGCACAGTACAGAATGGCCTGGAGTGAAAGTAAAGACAAGTTAGATTTTCCTAAGGATCTAAGGGAAAGATAAAGGTGGGCTGGACTTGGAGTGGCGACACAGGCCCTGAGGATAAGTGGATGATTCTGCAAGTTATTGAGGAGGTAAATCAACAGAGCCTGTGACTAATTTCAGGTGGAGAGGTGGAGGAGGAAGATGTGGTGGTAACTGCCAGGTTCTTCCCTCTGCCTTGTATCTCCCCTACCTCTCCTAAGGAGGATAGGGCAAGGTGCTAAGACTGAGGATCCATGTTAAGTCTTATCCTGTTAACAGTGGGACCTAAACAGAAAGAGTCAAAAGAAGCTTTCCTTAGGGCTGGGGATTTAGCTCAGTGGTTTCACTGCCTGCCTCGTAAGTGCAAGGTCCTGAGTTCGATCCCTGGTACCAAAAAAAAGAAAAGAGGCTTCCCTTTTGACATGTTTCAGAATGCCATGATGTTTGCATTCCAGAGCTGGGCTCACCCATTTAGTAAGATTCACCTCCAACAGCACAAGCCTAAAATTACCTACTCCTCTTACTAGTCCTGACTGGAAGTATCCCTGCTACTTCCCAAGGGTTTGTGAAAACAAATATCTTAGTTAACTCAAAGCCAGACTGCCCAGAAAGGATGGTAAGGCTTCAGTCGGGAACAAGGCTGGGGACAGAGATGCTGCACATGAAGTTTTATTTGCTTCTCATATGTATGTACAGGTATATACAGCTGGTGTGATCTATGGTACATTATTTCACATAATTATCTTACACACTGTGCATACTTCTGGGCAGGAAGCGGCAGATTCTGTTCAGATTATCCTATGAATTGTGGAGGAAAAGGACACTAATAGGAGCTTCCTTCTCTCCCAGGACATTCATGGGGGGCTGCCTACCCATTTTTCCAGACACTGCAGTGCCCTCCCACGGATAATCTGTGTCTCCCTCTTGCTCTGGGCACTTGCTGACAGGATCTCAGTGGTGGTAGCAGCTGCTTCCAAAGTCTTTCTCCTGGAATAGAAGAACACTCGGGGAAGGCCATAAAGATGCTACGGCCCCCACTCACAGAGAGTGGCAAACTAACACCTGATGCTGAAAGCCTGACTCGGATCCTCTTTCTCCAGCATGGGCACATCCTTCCAAGCCCAGTGCAGCCTGGCTTCATGGGGCACTGGCATGCATCTTCTCCAGACAACTCAACCAGAACATGACCAGCCGGTTGTCACAGTTGATGCAGAAGTCCGTGAAGTCCTTCAGTAACCGATCAGCAAATTTCTCATCCCCCGTGGCGCTGGAGCGCCAAGTCTTGGTTAGCATGGTATTGTAGGCCCAATTGTAGCCAACACGCTCCTCACAGAACATGTTCTGATTGGTGGAGCTGGTGGAATTCCGCCGCCGTCGCTGCTGCCCCGAGAACTTGCGCTTGGAGTACGGCAGCTGCAGAAACACTGTTCCTGAAGGGAAAGGGCAGGCCCTATGTGGCAGCCAGCAGGAGGGCACCTAAAATTCGGCTGAGGTGGTTCTACTACCTCAGGCTCAAAGCAGGGGATGGGACCTTCAAGAACAGGCCCTGTCTCCTTCAGGGCTCATGCACCTGCCACAGGGGCCCCATCTGCCACAGGGGGCCCACCTGCCCAATGTTTTGCCCCCAGCACCTCACCTGTAACGTGGATGTACTGAGGCTTGTTCTCAGCAGGGAAGTTAAAAGCAGAGGCAGAATATTTATCTTGTACAAACCCGAATCTAAGGAAAGGACAGGAAGACACAGGTTAGGACCCCTTTAGCTAAAGGACCAGGGGAAAGTGTGGCTAATAAGATTCTGACAGCTTGAGATAAAGGGACCTGGAAAAATCTTGTTCAAGGTGGACCATGCATGCCGCTTATTTTTATCTTCACCACCTCCATTCCTTCCAGCACTGTGGCTACCCAGCCTTCCGCTGCCCAGGTGTTTTCACCTTCGTAGGTAGGACGTGCTGCATGTTTCATCCGGCCTTCATCTCTGCCCAGCCTTACCCTCCCTCTTGCTGCATGCATCCTTCAGTACTCCAGGCAGGCCTTCCCACTGTGCATTCTCTCCCAGCCCAGCCCATCCCACCTTCACCCTGCCTTTTGCTGGAATCTACCTCCTGTCCTAGCTGGCTGCAGCACTCACCCGCAGACATTTCTTATCTTAATTTACCTTAGCCACACCTCCCCCCCTTCCCCATTGTTATTATGCTAAGCATGTAGAAAGATTCTCAATAAAGGACTCAAATTAAAATGAAATGAAGTATTTTAATTGAAATTCTTTTAAAAGTGAGGAACACTAATTTGAAGCTCTTTGCTCTGCTCTGGAAATAGGCAGGAGAAACCATTTTTCATCTACGACTTGTTCTGTTCTACTTCTCATTTATGGCCTGTTCTATTCCTGGCTTTTCTATTTCCATAAGGTGCATTTATTATAGTCCTACCTGCTAAGAGTTGTAAAGGACGTACTAACAGATGTGGCTCCTGGCCTCTGAGTCTGAGGCGTTTATATAATGTAGGCAGAGCTAAAATGCCTGTCTCCTTTCCTTGACTGAGCTCCCTGGGGAGGAGCTATGTCAGATCCTCTAAGCTGCTGACTTTACACGGGCATTCTATAACTATTTAGCAAAAAATACATAAAGTTAAATATACAAATTGAATGGATAGGTTAATGTGCACTGCAAACTCCCTAATCTCCAGACTGCTTCTATTGTGTATGGAAATGGTCTGGATTTTCCTCTGCTTCCTCTATACTTTTCAATCAAGCCTACTGATTTATTCAGCATGATCAACCTAACCAGAGTATTCTAGCCTCATTTCTTCCTTAGATCACCAGAAAAGACCTTTATTTTTTAAAAAACACAATTTGCTGGGCATGGTGGTGCAGTCCTATAATCCTTGCACTTGAGAGGCTAAGGCAGGAGGATTACTGTAATTTTTTGACCAGATGGGGCAACATAATGAGTTCCAGGACAGCCTGAACTACATAGGGTTAGGTTTTTGAGAACCTGTCTCAAAAAAAAATAAAATAAATAAAATAAATTAATAAATAAATATAAAATTAAAAAACAATTTAACCACATAGTCCCTGGCTACCTCACTATCCACTTGGGGAAAATGCAAGCCAGGATCACAGTGAAAAGTAGGGGGTTCTACTAATTTCACCTCAACAACCTAGAGAAGTTGAAAGAGCTGGGAGTTAGAGCAGAGGGTATCCAGGGTGGATAGATACTTTACTAGCATTTTCTAAGAATGTGTCAGTCCATAGCCACACTCCCACTGAAATTTCCTGTTACAGTTTAGATCAAGAAGGTTCCCAAACACCTTATACTCATAGATGGGGCTTTTGGAAGTTGAATGAATCATGGGAATGATATAGTTGACTTTGCTGTTAGGAGTTGGGGTCTGATCAAAGGAGGTGGGTCACTAAAGGCATGACCTAGAAAAGTGTATCTCCTTCCCTGGCTCCTCACTTCTCTCTGTTTACTGGCTGCCACAATGTAAGCAGCTTTCTTCCACCCAGGCCCTTCCACTATAACATTTCTGTCTTGGAGCCTGCCATCCATCAACTGAAATTTCTGAAACTGTGAGCTCTTCTTTTAAGCTGTGGGTGTCGAGTATTGTGTCTCAGACTAGAAAGTGACTAAGACAGATTCTGGTACCAGAAATGGGGTCACTGCCTTGAATATACCTGACCATGTGGTTTAAATGCCTTTGGAACTGGTTTGCTGGAGGAGTTTGGAAAAGTTGGACATGCCAGCTAGAGAAGCTCTAGAATATTGTAAAATGCCAAGCAAGATGGGAGATTCTAGTTGGAGCTCATAAGACCAGAATGGGGGCAGAAATGCAGATGGTAAAGGCCAGGCTCAGGAGGTTTCAGTTGGAAACAAGGCCTCCATTGGCAGGTGGACTTTAGACCATGTATGTTATGCTCTCACAGAAAAATCTGTCTAAGTTTTGCTTATGTACTGACACTTTGCAGGTAGCAGACTAATCTGGTGCAGGAAAATTCAAGGCAGCCCAATGGGCAGGCTGTAGCATAGGAAGTATTTGCTGCTTTTAATGAGATTTGCACTGAGAAACAGGAACAAAAATCTCATTTTAAAAGTTTTTAGTTTCATCAGAAAGAAGGCACCTATAAAGGAGGAAGAGAGGAAAGCTCAACAGAAGAGAGCTTAGTTGCTAAAAGGGTAAGTATTAAAAAGAAGCAAAGTATTTAAGGATAATAGGAAAACAGGACTATCAAGACAATAGGAAAGATGGTTTGAGGGGATGCCAGGAATCAGCAAGGCCCCCTCCTTTGTAGGTTCAGGGGTACAAAACTGAAAACTTTGCTTTAAGAAGAGAGCCCTAGGGTATCCTACTGCAGAAGGTCCTCCTAGGAAATTGGGAATTGGTTCTCTGGGATTTGTTTCACAGTGCTCAGCTATTCAGGCACTCAGAGGCCTCTCCAGCTATAATTCAAGGAGGCCTGGCCACTGGTCAAGCAGGTGGCAGACTTTGATGTTATCTATATGGTCCTGGTTTTACAGGCATGCAGAATGCAAGACTTATGGAGTCAAGGAGGCTTCCACTCAGATTCGCAGTGTTTCCCCGAGAGGACAGTGCATGAAGTTGGAAGAATAAAGCTGATAGGGCCAGGGATTTAGCTCAGTGGTTTTGCCACCTGCTGCGCAAGTGCAAGGACCTGAGTTCAATCCCCGGTACCAAAAAAAAAAAAAAAGAGAATAAATCTGATAGTACAGTAGAGACACCAGGGAGTTGGAGAAGACAGAAATGTGGAACATCTGAGAAAGCCACAGGCAATGAGCAAAGCCACCCCAAGAAAGAGGCTACTAAAGCTGTAACTAGCAATGTCATAGAGGTAGGGCAACCCTTTGGAAATCACATCACATTAAAATAATTTGCCCCAGGTGTTGGACATGGAGCTATGCAATTTAATGTTTGTCCTGCTGGGTTTTGGTCTTGCTTTGGTCCTACTCCTTTCTATCCTCCTATTCCTCCTTTTTGGAATGGGAATGTTTACCCTGTGCCATTGTATGTTGGCAGTATATACAGGGACTCATGGCTAAGATTTTGCCTTTTGTCTTAGAGAAGACTTTGGGCTTAGACGTTTCAGCAGTGCTAGAACTGTTAAAACTCTGATGACAGGGCTGGGGATTTAGCTCAGTGGCACAGTCCAGAGTTTGATCCCCAGTACCAGAAAAATGAAAAATAAAAAACAACTTTGACGACACTTAGAGACGGACTAAATGCATTTTCCCTAAAAAGATACAGATGAGTCTTTTGGCAGCCAGGGACAGAATGTAACAGTTTAGATTGAAAATGTCTCCCAAAGATCTTATACGCTCACAGGACTTTTGGAAGCTTGTTTGGAAGTTCTATCAGGGGAGTGCAGCTACTCGTATATCCTTGTATACCAAAGAAACGGTCCTTCGTCCTCTCTGACCAATCATGAAGCTTCAGGAGGGACATACATGGAGCAATGAGGGAGGAAAGGGACACCTGCCTAGTCAGCCAGGTCAGCCAGGTCCGCCAAAGCAGCCCTGGAGATCAGGAGGGTGACAGATGTACATATGTCACAGCCAGATTGCCCTCACATCCATTCATAGGACTTTTGGAAGGGGACTGAGTCATGATGGTGATACAGCTGACTTACTGTTAATAGGTGGGGTCTGGTCAAAAGAGGTGAGTCACTGAGGGTGTGACCTGAAATGGTATGTCTCCTTTCCTGGTTTCTCCCTTCACTCTCTGCTTTCTAGCCACCATGAGAGAGATGAGCAGCTTTCCTTTACCCAGGTCCTTCTGTTTCTGTCTTGGAGCCTGTTTCTGAGTCTGCCAACAATGGACTGAAATTTCTGAAAATGTGAGCCAAAATAAACCTCTCATCCTTTAAGCTGTGGATGTTGGGTAGTATGTGTCAGAGATAAGAAAATGACAAACACAATTCCACTCCTTGCAAAAGCCAAAAGTGTAACAACTACTCTGGGCAAGACACTTTGCTGGGCATTGCAGAAGAAAAAACAGAAAAATGTATAATTTTGTGCTTCAGGTGCCCCTTGAATCAGTGTAATAGATTGACAGAGTGTTCTGGAAGAAAAAGAAACAAGTGAGCTACAATAAATCTTTCTTCCTTAAAAAGTAAAGAAAAAGAAAGGGAAATTCAGAGTGGAGGGGTCTATGGGTCCTGGTAGAAGACACTGATAGCAGTAGAAGAGGTAGGGGCTTAGATTACAAGGTGGAAGGTGACACACAGCTGAGTCAGGTGCAGTGACACATGGGAACTGGTGGAAGGTGCCTGGGAAAATTAGGGGTTGGAAAAGTAGGCTAAAGAGGAAAAGGCAACAGTTTAGAGGAAATATGACCAGAATCTGAGCTGAGGGGGACCAGAAGGAGCCTACTTCGAAGAAAAAAGAATAAGTGCCAAATAGAGGTCACATTCCAAGTGATATCCTGGCAGTAAGATGAAATGATTGCCTGGTGAGGTACAAGGCAAGCAGTATAAGAGCTATTTACAAACTCAGCAATGAGATGGAGTTTTCCTAATGACTACTGTCTCCTGCAGGCTCATTAGGTGAGCCCAACAAGCCTGTATGGATGAGCAAACAAAGGGTTGGTAGTTCCAAGACTTGCCACAGAATTTCCACAGTTCCTCATCCAAATGCTGATGGCGATGGGCCAGGTCTTTCTGCTTCCCACATCAAGGCCCTTTCTCACTGACCACTGTGCTCTCTCTGCACTATCCTAAATCTGCACTTCCTCTCACTTGAAGGAGGAAATCAGCTGCCCTGGCATTCATTCCATAGCCTCTACTAAGTCTCTGAGGTAGGTCTACACCTTAGGATAAGGGCTAAAGTAGATAGGGAAAACTTGGGTGGGAGAGGCTTAAGAGTTTGGACTTCATCCTGTTGGCTGTGAGTGTATGTATGGGGGAGATAACATGACACTGACCAAAGTGTAGCAAGGTTACTGAAGCAAGAATAGGAGGTTTTGTTTTCAACATGATTAACAAAGTAGTAATCAGACCATGACTTAGTGATGACTGCAGACAATGCGATTTGCTGGACTGGTCTAGGATGAAACAGCTAAGCCTAGGGGAAGGCTTTCCCTGGCATATGTATTAGATGCCAAGAAATATCTACTGACATCTTTTGCTTTTATTTATTGTCTTTTTTTGTGGTACTGGGGATTGAACTCACAACCTCACATATTGATAGGCAAGCACTCTACTACCGAGCCACATCCCCAGCCCTTATTTTATTTTTTTCTTGGTATTGGGGATTGAACTCAGGACCTTGCATTTGCGAAGCAGGTGCAGTGATTCTGCGCTAAATCCCTGGCCTATTTTTTTCTAAAATCTTGAGACAGGGTCTTGCTTAGCTGCCCAGGCCTCAAACTTGTGATCTTGGGCTGGGGATTTAGCTCAGTGGTGCCACCGCCTGCCTTGCAAGCGCAGGGTCCCGAGTTCGATCCCTGGTACAAAAAAACTTGTGATCTTTCTGTTTCAGCCTCTTGAGTAGCTGGAATTACAAGTGTACACCACTGTACCCAGTTCATCTATTGCCTTTTAATCATTCACTGACTTTCAACACGTCATGGGTCTCTTGAAAATTTTTTCTTTTCTTTTCTAAATTTTATTTCTGTAGATTAAACCCAAGGCCTTCCCATAGAATTACATCACCTGCCCCTTTTTTATCTTGAGACAGTTACCAAGCTGCCCAGGCTGGTCTTGAATTTGCAATCTTCCTGCCTAAGCCTCTTGAGTAGCTGGGATTACAGGTGTGCATCACCACGTCCAGCTACAATTTTTTCATTTCATGCTATCTCCTGGATAGCTTAGCTCAGGTTCCTATCAGAGGCTAACAAAATAGCTCTAAGTACTCCCTCATCAGAAGGGAATAAGGTCTGAAAAACAATAGCTACAGGAACTGGCAGGGTAGTGCTTATCTCTGAACCCAAGACAAAGAGTCCAGTTGGAGATAAGCAGTGAACTTGTCATTGGTGGAACAGATCTTTTTCCTCAGGAACAAAACAAACTGGGTTTCACTTTTGTAACTGCTATTCAAGACAAATACTGATTCCTCCCCATTATTCTCTTTTGCCAAAGGGCCAAACCTCTGTGCAATGGCTTCCTGGAAAAGGTGCATTCGATCCCAATATGTTTCTGGTTCAAAACCTGAAAGAAAAAGAATAAACGCTGAGTTTTGATCCCAAGATTTATAATTTCCCATCTGTCTGGGCTTCCACACCCTATATTACTCTTGGAAATTTTTGTCCATTGAACCTAAGCTCTGCTTTTCCACACTAACTGCTTGGGGGCAAGATCAGTTACCATCTCAAGGTCAAAGAAAGGACAATTATACGTTCATACCATCCCTTTCTCTAAGGTACAGCAGGGTCTAGAAAGGTGATAAGTCCAGAAGCCATTGTGAGCTACCAGAACCCAATATAATATTCTATACCAAAAGCTGAGAGGAACAGTTTACAGTACAAAGAGAAGATAAACCTTAAATGCATGTTAGCTCCTTCTAAAGAACAATAACAAGGGCCGGGGGTTTAGCTCAGTGGTTTCGCTGCCTGCTGTGCAAGCACAAGGACCCCAGTTTGATCCCCGGTACCAAAAAAAAAAAAAAGAACAATAACAACACCACCTATGGTTTTATATTCCCAATTTTCCATTTTCCCATAAAGAAAGACAATATTATAAACTCTTTTTAGGGGTAGGGAAATTGAAGTGAGTAAATATAAAAATAAATTTTTGACAAGTGATCAGTTGGGGAGGGAGCAAAGCACATGCATCCCCTCCCCCATCAACCAAGGTATTTGGTCCTACAGGGATGCTGCTAAAAACCAAATGCTGAGTGAGGAGGTAGGAGAGCTGAGCAGGCTGTCACATAGCAACAGGCAGCAGAGCCCAAACTACTCTTGGGATGGAGTTGTTGAGGGCTGGGGTAGCAATTGCACAGATACCCCAAAGGCTTGAGGCCCCTGAAGTGGCTTTATAACTCCTTCCATATTTGGAACTTTCTAGCTAAGACAGATTTCAGGGTTCTGGACGAGAAAGAGCAAAAATGAAAAAAGGGCTTCAGCTTTAGTAGGAAAACATACACACACACACAGCATCTTCTCAGATTTTAAGATTCTGAATTCACTTGTTCCAGAAAGCAGTGATAAACTGATTTTTAGACTCAATTCCTTACTCCTTTAAACTAGGACTCCTTTCTTTAGCTGTAACCATGGCAACCAACAGAGGATGCTGGTCTTGAAGACTGGTAATAACTTGCAGGGAAAACCATCAACTTGCACAAAAATGTCCTCTAATGCCATCCCTCTGAGCAATGCTATGCAGTTACAGTGAGAGTGGAAAGCCCCAGAGTCTTGGAGATGATGTGAGGGAAGATCTCTCTGTCCCTCCAAATTTATTAATAACAACACTACAAGGAGCTGCCTGGTTTAAAATTGTCTGATAGGTACACAATCATCCAGCATTTCAGGACTGCATAAAAGGTCCTCTCTCAGCCATGCTGTGAGGTTAAAGAATGTGTGTGTGCAGAAGAACTTTCAAAAATCTTTATTATCAAATAGGTTACACATGTGTAAATACTGAATAGTTTCTCTGGTGGGAGAAACTGAAAGTGTAAATAAGGATCAAAATGTATAATAGATATTGTGAAATAGGAAGAAAAGGTCCAAAGGGGAAAGGGAAGTGGGAGAGGTAGGGAAAAGGAAAGAAGGGGAAGGAATAAATATGAGAAAAGGAAAAAATGGAAACAAAGTCTCTGTAAATAGGGATGGGTGGAGGGGTTGGAGGGGAGGAGAATGGGGGAAAAAATAAGAACCAAGATACATCATGTAAAGGTGCAAACTCCCAATAATGAATGTCAATATACTGTATACCTAAAATGTACCAATAAAATTAATGAAAAAATTTTATTACCTTGGAATCTATGGCCAGGAAGGGACTTTGTGGGGCTTACCTGGAACCCCAACCATCACTTGGAACATTGCATCTTTACAAAAATGTCTTATAAATTTTAAATGAAGAATATACAGATGAGCCTTTGGGAAAAAAAGGCTATCTGCACAAGTAGGGCAGCCTGTCACATGAAAGCACATAAAAACTGAGCTTGGCCTTTCTCACGTGGAAGACCATCTCATCCTCTGCTGCCTACCAGGACACACACACAAAAGAGCATGGAAAGAAAGTATCTCCCTTACACCACAAGTTGTTTCTTTCCCATTTATAATCTTTATGTCAAAGGGCTCCTTACAAATCGGCATCAATTCTCGTCTTTGATTTAAAAAAAAACATCATCTGTGAATTCATGGAAAACTTTAGGAGATATCATCTCTCACACACACACACATACACACACACACACACAGCCACACACAAAGGGTACACATGATAAAAGGCAATGTACTGTGTAAAGTAGAACTCATCCTTTTTTTCTGTCCTAAACACGGTAGACCAGGACTGAGTGGCAGGTCAGGTGAGTTCTGTGAGCCTTTGTTTTGATTGCAACCATGTTCTGACCTGGGTTCTGCTGTCCTCCTCTGAGCTTACTCCAGCTCTGCTTCATCTTTCTTGATATGTAGGATTCAAGCCATATGCAGGGTTCCAGGAGCTGACACATTACATCTTTACATTATAGGATACTGTTACTTTTTTTGCTTTCAGTGCCCTGTTATGCCTTTTTGCAAAGAAAAGCATATGTAAGCCTCCCATGAGGTTCAAGTCCACATAGCCCTAGACCAGTTAGGCTGATGAACACAAAAGAAGGCACAGGAGAATAACAGTACTAGTAGGGATTTATGGTGCATGGCATCATCTTCCACCTACTGCTCTAGGCCCTATGGCAGTCCTCAAAGGTGGGAAGGCAGATCTAGCTAATCTCATTTTAGTAATAAGGAATATGAGGCTGAGCCACTACGTAAAGAACTAGGATGGAAACCCAGATCATTTTGGCCCCTTGGAAAAAGTCTCTCTCTCTCTCTCTTTTTTTTTAACTAGCCTGAGTTGATCAGATACCCAGAGAGGTATCCTTGGGGCAAGGGTCTTACTCACTGACACAGAACTTCCAGAAGGGAGTATCTCTTACTGTCAAACAGATGCTCGCTGCCTTCCTTGATCAAGCAGCTGATGTTGAGTGGAATGAAGAGCTGGGCTCGAAGGGGATCACCATACAGATAACTGGGCAAAGCAAAAGGACCTTCCAAAACAGGGACCAACAAAAAGCCACAGGAGGTAGCTTTTCGATGCCAGCCTTGGACCTGGTGGAAAGTACAGAAATAAACAGTGTCATCTCCAAATTCTTTCAGACAAGAAAAAAATACTTCCATGGGGCAAACCTGCCAAAGCCGTGACACGAATATTGATTGGCATGTTCATTTATTCATGTTCACTGGCTCCAAACTCATTCTGGACAGGAAAAAGTGCAGTTTCACTTCCTGACAAATACTTGAAAAACTGAGATGGCCACACGGCTCCCTTTCATGCCCCAAGCTTCTAAAACTTTACTGATTCTTTTGTAAAGAAAGGACTGAAGAAAGTCCTTTCTTACTCTGTGGGTTGTTGGAGGAAGGGTATAGGATATAGGTAAAATTCTTCTAATGTTGTCCTTTATCAAGAACATAAGGAAAAAAATAAAATAAATAAAATTTAAACAAGAACACAAGGACTGGGGATACTGTTCAGCCGTAGAGCACCTGCCTAGTATGCACAAGGCCCTGGGTTCAATCCCCAACACCAGAGAAAGCAATTCACTCAGGCTGGTTGAGAAAAAGATGACGTAGGATAGAAAATGACTGTGGTGGCCTTTGGCCAAAAGTTAATGCAGACAACATGCAGAATGAGAGCCATTCTTAGTGAGAATTCCCCAAAGACCAAGAATGAAAATTACTGGGGCCTAAAGACAAACTAGCCATCAATAACACTTTCTTGGAAAACAGTGGCAGCTTTCTAGTTTTTCAAATACTTTTTTTAACCACAAAATTGATGCTTTTTGGGGGTGGAAGGGGATTGAGACAGGGCCTCACTGTGTAGCTCACACTGACCTTGAGCTCACTATGTAACCCAGGCTGGCCTTGAACTTGTGATCATCCTGCCTTGGCTTCCTGAGTTCTGGGATTAGAAATGTGTGCTCAGAAATATATAAAATTTTATTTTTATTTTATATTTTTTTCTTTAAAGCTGGGGATATAGTACTGTGGTTAAGCACTTGCCCAGCATCTGTAAGGCCTTCAGTTTGATCCTCAGTAGCAAAAAAAAAAAAAAAAAAAAAAAAAAAAATGCTGATGGATTTGGCTTCTGGCATAAAGATGAGATCTATATCAAAATTTTTCGAGTTAGTTTTTTCAAGACAGGGTCTTGCTATGTCACCTAGGCTAGCCTCAAACTTGTAGGTTCAAGTGATCCTCTCATCTCGGCCTTCTGAGTAGCTAAGCCTTCTGGTTAAACAATATTATTTTAAAATGACAGAACCTAGGCACAGTAGTGTGTGCCTGTAGTCCCAGGTACTTGTGAAGCTGAGGCAGGAGAATCACTTGACCCCCAGGAGTTCAAGACTAGCCTGGACAGCATACCAAGACCCTACCTCAAAATAAAAAAAATAAATAAATAAAATGAAATGAAACAGTTTGTGCCATACCAAGACTTAAATCTAAGTTGACTCTTAGATTTTCCCCAGGAACACTCATAATAACAGCAATAAAACCAAGATCTCTGGGTTCACCAAGTTAATTCCTAAGGCTCAGTCAACAACATTTTTACATTCTGGGAGGCTGAGGCTGGAGGACCGCCAAGTTTGAACCTAGCCTGGGCAACTGGTGACTTACCATGACCCTGTTGCAAAATAAAAAAGGGCTGGGTATGTAGTGCAGTGCAAAGGGCCTGGGTTCAATCCCCAGTACCACACACACACACAAAAGGCAATATTTAGCCTGATAAAATCTGATTTATAACAAATGTTGGACATTGCCTTAATAATTCACCCACATTAATGTTTAAAAATAACAAAATGGCCAGATGCGATGGTGCACACCTGTAATCCCAGCACTTGGGAGGTTGAAGTAGGAGAATCACCATGTATTGAGGTCAGCCTGGGCTACATAGTGAGTCCAAGGCCAGCCTAAACTACATGTAAGACCTTGTCTAAAACAAAACAAAACAATGACAAAAGCATTATCAATGTCCAGTAGTTTTTACATGAATAGATGTGAAAAACACACTTTTTAAAGATAGTCTGTAAATTCCTCAGAGGAAATAAACATTTTTCTTCCTTTCCAACTGCAACTATATGTCTGCAAGCGCTAAGGTTGTATTATTTTAAGATAGGGTTATCTGGCAGGGCCTGCAAAGAGAACAGTTATGCCTACTGGGTCAGAGGGTTAGTTTTGCCTGGAGGGAGCATTCCTCCCAGTGTCAAACAGCTGGGGAAGAGCTGGTGTCCGGTGTCATCTGTAAACTGAGCAGGACGAGCAGCTGATATCTTATTTTAGATCTTAAGGTGCTCCCTGGATGATAACTCTTTCTGAGAGAGAGGTCCTCGAAGATACTAATGGCATATATTGAGGTGCCTGCAGGTAGAGACCCAAACTTCTCCCCCCGGGACACCATGTCTTGTGGGACAAAACTAGGCCCACAAGCTCTGGACAATAAAACTTGCTGCCAGTGCTATGCTCATTTCTCTTGGTTCATCTCTCAGCTTTCAGTAAACTTTTTCTGAACTTTCCAGCCGCTCTCAGCTGTGCAATGAAATGCTTGGGTCAGTGTTGCGGGGAGAGGACTCAGGTGAACCATAGGAAATTATTCTTTCTGGCTGAATCAGAGTATATAAAAGGAGTAGCAGATTGTGATGATAGTTAAGGAGGGCTCTGGGATAGTTAGGTTGGCTACAGAATGCTTATTCCATAGGCATGGGGACTGGGAAGGGCAGGGATGGATTCTTACTGCAGGAGTAATGAATGGCCTAATTAGATAGGCAGGTCAGAAAGACCAGTTAAAATGGGGCTTCTTAGCCTTGGCATTTGTGACATCTTGGGTCACTTAATTCTTTGTTTAGGTGCTGTCTTGTGCACTGTAGGACAATAAGCAGCAACTGTAGTCTCTACCCACTAGATGCCAGTAGGGAGTAGCACCCCTTACCCCTACTCTGTGTAATAAGCAAAAATGTCTGCAGATATTGGCAAATGCATGGCGGGGGGGCACACAATGACTTAAAAACAGTGATGCTCATCAACAGAGGGTTGGTTAAATTATGGTACAAATAAATAATAAAACATTCTGCAGCCCTTAAATACAATGAGGCAAAATGAAAACAAAAACCAACAACTGAAAAACACCAAACACAAACAAGATAGATTTATTTGTGTCTATATGAGGTATGATGGAATAATACGGTAAATGTTTAAATTTTTTTTAAAATTTGCTATAATAGGCCAGGGATTTAGCTCAGTGGTTCCAGTGCCTGCCTCGAAAGTGCAAGGTCCCGAGTTCAATCCCTGGTACCAAAAATAGGTAAATAAATAAAAATTTGCTATAATAAAAGACACACTGCCATTGATCTCCTTCAAAATAACCCCCCCCAAACACATTTAACCCCATCATTCTTGCTTCTTTGTGGACCAGTTCTGGAAGACCTCTGTGAGTGTCCTTAGTTGCACTGTGGGACTGCTTCAAAGCCCTGAATAGATTCAAAGTGTTTACTTTTCATAGTCATTTTGACTTTGGGGAAGAGCCAGAAGTCACATGGTGCCAGATATGGTGAATAAAGTAGATTAGGACACACTGATTTTTTTCAGCCTGTTTTTCTATCAGATGACACTTGGCAACAACATTCACTGACTTTTGGATCACGAAAAGACGTTCATGAAAGAGGACTTCCAGAATTGCTTCAAAAAGTGGCAAGAATGATGGGATAAATGTGTTTGAAGCAAGGAGGTATATTTTAAGGAAGATAATATAAGCAATGTGTTTTTTATTGTAAATTTTTTAAAATGTAATTTATTGTAATACATTATAAATGTTACTATAATTTTTAAAAATGTAAACACTCACTGTATATTTTGATCACCCATTTATGGAAGATACATAGATATAATAGAAAAAACAAATGTAAATAGGATACATTCCATGCTACCATCCCTGTTAAAAAAACAAGTAGTGCTGGGTGTGGCAGTGCACACCTGTAATCCCAGCTACTTTCAAGGCTGAGGCAGGAGGACTGCAAATTTGAGGCCCAGCCTCAGAAACATACTAAGGCCCTATATAGGGGGGAAAAAAAAAGCTAGGCATAGTAGGATATTCCTGTAATCCCAGCATTCTAGGAGGTTAAGGCATCAGGATTGCAAGTTTGAGCCCAGCCTGGGCAACTTAGTGACTTAGTGAGACCCTGTCTCAAAAAAAAAAAAAGAATTTTAAAGGGCTGGGGATATTGCTCAGTGGTGGAGCACCCTTGGGTTTGATTCCCCAGTACTGGGGTAACCGCCCCCCGCCCCCCACACACACAAAGAACAAGTTTCATGGTTTTGAATATGCACAGAATCTTTCTAGGAGAGCAGTCCCCAACCTTTTTGAGACTGGTTTCATGAAAGAGAATTTTTGCATGGACAGGGTGGGAGGCTGGTGGGTGGGTTCAGGATGATTCAAAGGAACATGCAACCTAGATCCCTCCACAGTAGTTCATAGCAGGCTTTGAGCTCCTATGAGAATCTAATGGCACCGGTGACCTGACAGGTGATGCAGCTCCGGCAGTAATGTGAGTGATGGGAGTGGCGGTAAATACAGATAAAGCTTCACTCACTTCCGCACCCATCACTCATTTCCTGCTGTGCAACCCAGTTCCTAACAGGTACAAGTCTGGGTCATGGGTTGGGGACCCCTGCTGTAGAAGTACACTAAACTATGTGAACTAAATGTAGTGGTGGTTACTTCAGATGGAAGTCCCAGGACACACAGATGGGAAAGACTTACTTTCCACTCAGGACCAGTGATTCTGAACTGGAGCAATACTCCCTCTCCTTAGTGTCATGTGCCAATTCTAAAGACACTTTTGGTTTTCACAGGTGGCCGTGTGTAGGTGGCCATTTAATGGGTAGAGGCTGAGGTTTTGCTCAACATCCTACAATGCACAGGACAGCTCCCCACTGCAGAGAATTATTCAGCCCTAGATGTCAGTCGTGCTAAGGTTGAGAAACCCTGTTCAAACAGTTTGTCTAATTTTTTAAAAAGTTTATTTCAATAGTCCAAGTGAAAGGTAGTAAAAGCCCGATCCAAATAATCAAAGTGACATGAATCATTACTAAGCATCTCCCATACCCTTTTGCTGGAAGAGCCAAAGGCCCTGATCACATGTATGAAACTCTCACCATCTCGAAGAGTACCGCAGCTGTCACTGCCATCCAGTGTAGTTTGATCTCAAATGCTGCATTCAGGGAGAAGTTGCCATGATAATAACAGCTACACCACTCCAGCCGGTCTGTGCGGTTGTTCACATCAACATCTAGGGTCACAGTCCTCTGCTCTGGGACAGTGGCAGCTGTGTCAGGACATAGGAGGAGATGAAGACAGAGGGGACAGGAATGGGATGAGGAGGACAAACAAACAGCTAAGCAATCGGATATGAAATAGCAGAATCACCTAACAGAAAATCACAAATTCTAGGAGTTTCTTGAAAATAATCTAGTCCAAGGGTCCACAAATTTTGCTATTTGTGGCTAAAGAATAAGTATTTTAGTTTTCATGAGCCATACGGTTTCTGTCACAACTGTTCAAGTCTGCCATTATAGTGTAAAAGCCGCCATAGCTGTTTTGTAAAGGAATGGGCTTGGCTGTGTTCCAATAAAACTTCATTTACAAAAACAGATTGTTATGGCAGTGAAAATATTGTATATGATATTCTAATGGTAAATGCACGTCATTATATATTTCTCCAAACCCACAGAATACTCAACACTAAGAGTGAACCTAATGCAACCATGGACTTTGGGTGATAATGTGTCGATGCAAGTTCATGGATTGTAAGAAATGTCACTCTGGTGGGGGGATGTTGACAGTGCACTGGATATGTATGTTGGCAGGGGATATACATGGACTTTGCTCAATTTTCCTGTGAACCTAAAATTCTTCTTTTAAAAATAAGTGTTTATAAAACAAATAGCTAACCAGATTTGGTGGGGTAACTGTGTTTTTCCTCTTCTTAAGCTAATCTAATTCCTTTATATATATATAAAAAAAAAGACAGCCCAAGGAAAGGAGATTCCTTGGCCAAGACCATACAGTCAGAGCCTTAGTCCAGCTGAACCCCAGGTCTTCTGATTTCAGTAACCCACAAGGGACAGGAGGAGAAACGGCCCAGACTACAGTGAGGCGGGAAATTTTCTTCTCTGATTGCAACACAGGGAGGCATTAGTTCTACAATCTTTTCTCAAGAAATGAGACTTCACCGAGTTCGATCCCTGGTACCAAAAAAAAAAAAAAAAAAGAAATGAGACTTCAGAATGAAGCTTAACACCTTGTTCCATCGTATTTGCGTGGCTAAAGAATTCCAGGTCAGTACCAAATTTGCTCATCCTATATGGGATCTCTGCTTAGAAATCCTACTCGACTCAATACAGGGATATAATCATTAGAGATGCATTAGACAATCAAATTCTTGACTGGGGTAAAGGCTTAAAAGAGGCTCAGATATTAAAAAAGGTCAGGTCTCTGTCCACCTGCCTGGGTACTACCACAACTAAGGCTTCTATAAATAATGATTTCCCCCTTATCCTCCCTGCCCCTGAGTTCAATTTTTTTTTTTTTTAATCTGAAGAAGTCAGCTTGGACCTAGGTTCTGGAAGTAGAAGCTCTAAATGGCTTTTATCACTGACAAGGACAAAGCAACTCCTGAGACAGCAATTTTGATGAGCTTCTGCTGAGAGACAAGGGAGTGATAGCTAGGGCACTGAATGGCACCCAGGTGATCTGATATTGGGCTGCCAGATGTACCACTTTTTTTTTTTTTTTTGGTACCGGGGATTGAACTCAGGTCCTTGCTCTTGCACAGCAGGCGGTGGAACCACTGAGCTACATGCCCAGCCCACCACTTATTGTTCTCTCAAAAACTAGAACATGCAGGGCCGGGGATGTAGCTCAGTGTCACCGTGCCTGCCTGGCAAGTGCAAGGTCCTGAGTTCGATCCCCGGTATAGCAAAAGAAAAAACAAAAAAACTAGAACATCCAAAATGAGAACAGTTGTGGATTTGGAGTGAGAAAATCTAAGCTCTTCCATTTACTAGCCATGTGTCTCTGAGACCATTGCTTTATTTCTCCTGGTTGCTTTCTGCAAACTGAGATGTGGCAGTCCAGTTACTTCAGAGAGGAGTGAGGATTAAGTGAAACAAGGCTGGAAAGGGGTCATAGGCTGGCAGCATTTTCAATGGAATGAATGACAAAACTTTCTGATAATAAGTTAATTGCCTACTGTTGCATTTGCTGACTCCAGACCTAATGTTCCAAATTCAATATTCCCCAATACTGGCAAATTATATCCATTCATATATTTTGACACAAACAAATATTTATTAAAGTTGACTACATGTCAAGTATTATTGTAGGTGTAGGGATAGCCAGTGAATAAAACAAAGTTCATCACATTTAAGCTTAAGTACTTGTGGAAGTGGAAAAATATATAAGCTATACAAACATACAAAATGTGGGAGAGAAAGAAGTACATGAAGGGTGACTGGTTTTCCTGGCCTAAGTGTCAGAATGAGAAGGAAATACTAAAGGAGAAGCAGACATGTGAGGGAAATAGCAGAGTTCTGTTTGAACACTGTATATCCAGTCATCTCACTCACATGTAGCAGATAAATAGATGGGTAAGTCTCAAACTGGAAGGTATAGTATCTCCATACTATATTCCAGAGATGAAAATTTAGGAGTGATCAGATCTCAGGATAATGAAGGCACTGTCCTGAAAAGAGGCTTAGGACACAGCGATGAGGGCCCACAGAGGGTTTTACCAGCCTAGGGAAGAAGGCTTGCCTGCTGCAATATTGAGAGATTTCTTAAGGGCTGGTGATTTAGTTCAGTCGTTCTGGCGTCTGCCTCACAAGCTCAAGGTCCTGAGTTCGATCCCCAGCATCAAAAAAAAAAAATTGAGAGATTTCTTAGGAAATCTTTCTTAAGAGAAAGCAGCAAAGGAGATTTGACAAAAATGGAGGACAGACAAGAACTGTGTTTGAGAGCCATGCAGTGAAAGGATTTAAAGGAGCACTTAGGAGTCATTTGACAAATGCTACAGACGGGCAAGAGGACTAAAACTAAGGAATAGCCACTAATCTAAGGAATTTGGGGCTCCCTGTTTATCTTAGGAAGTGCTATTCCAGCAGAAGGGATGGACAAAAACTTGATTTGAGCTTTTGGCAACAGAAGCGTGCCTGGAGTAGAGCAATGGGGATGTTTTTATGGGGACACTTAAGTAGAGAGGGCAAGTTCAGAAAGAGAGAGACTGACCATCAAAATACTGTGAGGGCTGGGATGCTGGGCTAAGTGAAGACTCTGGCCTTAGACTAGAGCAGGGGTGGCTCATCCAGTGCATGTAGGAGAGGAGCAGGGACAGATGCAGCTACTGGCAAAAGGAAAAAGGAATCTGGAATTAACTTCTGACTGATTCTGGGGTGGGGAGCCATGGTTAGGAAGTTTGGTGGCTCTGAACTGTTAATGAGGCAAGTGAAGATGTGAAATGGGTGAGGGAGAACAGAAAGATGACAAGATCATTTGGTTGTGGGTCCTGATGGGGATCAAAGAATTGTTGAATTCAGGACTAGAAAAAACATGTTTGAATGATGATCAGGGTGACAGAGGGAAGAAATGCCACATTAAGGGAGTTACAGTTTTGTGGCAGGGCTTGGAACCCAAGTGTTCTTCATCACAAAAGGCTCTGGCCACCTCTGGACCTGGGCCATCATGTGAATCACATGAAGTCTAGGCAGGCTTTGACTTGTCTTCCTGAGGCTGATTTGTAGTGCAGTTAGAACCCAGGCTTCTGGGTAGTCTTGAGAATAAACTCCAGCTCTAGCTCTGAGTAGACACACAGCCTTAAGTAAGTGACTTCCCCTCTCTGAGCCTCAATCTCCTGAACTCTAAACCGTAACTCACAGTACCGGTAACAGCCATGGGATAAAGACGAAATGAGAGGACTTTCTATGTGTTACAGTGCGTAACACATAAATGCTCTACAAATCAAGGTATTAATGTTATTACCAGTGCTTCCACATTAGGTAGGGCTAAAGGAACCATAAACACCACCACTAAAAGCACAAGAGGACCCAGGAGCCAGGATGGAACACAGAATACTTCATTTTAATATCCCAACTCAAGTTCTGACTATTCATTCGACCTCCTAACTCTGAAACACCCCTTATTACATGTTGACCTGACACTTGCTTAGAGAAGTTACTAATGAGCTTCAAAGCCTTGCAGGTGTCCTGAATATTTCATTCATGGATCCTTCCTAGACTCCTTCAATTCCCCCAGGGCAGTGGTTATCAATGGGGGGTAATTTTGTGCACATACACACAAACACATACCCCAGAGCACATTGTGGCCAATGTTAGGAGACATTTTGTCACACTAGGGGTGGGGAAGTAGAACTAGGCATCTAGTGGTCAGAACAAGGGATGATGCTAGATATTCTATAATGCACAGGTCAGCCTCCCACAATAAAGATATCTGGCCCAAAATGTCCTTATTGCCAAATTTGAGAAGCCCTGCTCTAACATTCTATATACCCTGTGAGAAAAGATTCATAGCAGAATAATTCCTTTTATCAAAAACTTTCAAGAACAGGAAATTTTCCAAATAAATAATAGCTACCTCCCACCTTAAAAGAATCAAAACTTAACAAGTATATTTTGGAAAACATTTTGCCAAAGTGAATTATTGATGCACCTGCTGCTAACATGTGCCTCTGATTCAATGTCTCTAACCTGGGGTATTGCTGAGAAACCTATAACCAAACTTGTTAGAATACAGCAAACAGGCCCCTTCTGGTTGAGGCCCTCTCACAAGGAAGTGACACTTGGAATTTGACATTTTATTGGGTTCTTCAGGAACATTTTTGCTACCTTCAACTCTCAGGTAAATACAGTGTCACCACACATGATCCAATATTTATTTACAATAACTCTCATCTTTGTCTCAGTAACCTTGGGAGTGGGAGGTTTCAATTCTCTCTTTTGTATATATCTGAAGAGCAACTAGCTTTCAGGCTTAGTCCTTGCTCCTCAGAGAAGATGAAAACTCGTAGCTATTAAGTAAGGAAAAAACAGGCTTTAAAACTTGGCTATTAAAAATAAGCTTGACTTAGTGGGGAATATGGGATAAAACTTAGCCTCTTGAGCATCTCCCCACATGCAATCCAGTGCTATGAATGGCTATGAATTAACACTGCACTTTATGGAATTCTTGTGCTATAAAAAGTTTTTGAAGGCCAGGGATTTAGCTTAGTGGCAGTGCACCTCCCTGAAAAGCGCAAGGTCCTGAGTTTGATCCCTGGTACAAAAAAAAAATTTTTTTTTTTGAGACAGCGTCTCATTAAGTTGCCCAGGCTGGCCTCAATCTTCCAATCCTCCTGCTTCAGCCTTCCATTTAGCTGAGATTACAGATGTGTGCTGCCACACCTAGCTTGTTTATTTTATTTCTAATAGGTATTCCTGGCTCCACTTTTATTGTGAGACTACTCACTTTACTTCCCCTTGGCATTAAGGTACCTGCCTTTTACTTGCTACCTCTAACAGGCTCTTGCATGGCATAAAATGCTCAGCTGCTCATAGGCCTTTGGTCTCAAGCCCACGGAGTACTCTACATGGTTTAGGTTGCTGGAAATGAGCTCCCCAGAATAACAGTGAGTATGTGACCTCCTTGCTCCCAGATGACCTCAAGGAAACGGGGAGTTAGAAGTACGACAAAGGGGAGAAGGGAAAGTCATGTGTGCCTGGGTGAAGGGAGGAGGAGCTGTTCCTCTTGTGGCTTTGCCCCATCTTCTCCTCTCCTTCACTTTTCACAGAGAACACTGGTCACAATGGTGTGCATGCAAGGTGAAGTCAGAGTCATGCCAAGATCTAAGCAAATCTAAGGCTCTGGAAACTGTGATGGCTATAAAGGTGTTCATCCTACCAACTAGATAAGAATTCCAATAACCTGGGCTTTAGAGACAAATGGTCCGAAAGTAGCATTTCACTGGAGTTTATGTTGTGACTGCTTCCTTCCAGAGGGTTTTCAGGATCTCTTCAATGTGACCCACAGATAAATCCAGTGGTGCCTCGCCCACCGTATGAATCTTTTAAATTTAAAGAATTTAAAGAACTTCAAATCTCAACCACTTGGGCTGGCCTCCAGAGCAAAGGTCTCTATTTCCTATCTATTTTCATAAGCAGGTATTCACTCCTATGTTAGCCACAGGAACCATGGAAAAGGGGAAAGAGTTCCAGGTGGCATTCCTTGGTGTGGTAAGCAAACTGGAGAGGAAGAGATGAGTGGAGAGTGATGCTTAGCTTGAGTGTCTGGAATAGATCATCTTTTATAGTCCTTCCTTTTCTGACATCCTATGGATGCTAGAGTTTTAGGGAAGCCCTATGGCAGGAACTAAACCTGAAGAGAGCACTAGCTAACAACCCCTGTATCCTGTGGGCCTTGTGGAAAAAATGGTCATACTTTCTATTCTCTCCTATCTATGCAAGTTTGGTACCATGCTCTGATTTGTGAGGTTCTAAATACTGTCTGCTGGTTAAGACAGTAATGAACCTAGACCTACTCTTTCAGGAAGACAGCACAGGAACCCTCAATGCCAGCAGACATAGTGGCTAACGTGACGGCCACAGTAGCTCTAATTCTGGCATCATTCTCTTGGTTGGCCGCCACCTTTTCCCAGCCACTTGCCAGTGTATACCCAGACCCCAGCTAAGTCAAGCATTTACCTAAAAGTGCAGCTGCTTGGCTCCGTCCTCCAAAACTTCGACTAAAGGAGCTGTGCCTACTTGCATAGGAGGCTGGTCGGCTGGGCAGCCAGGGCAAGAGGAAGGCAGGAATCTCAGAGTGCAAGAGCTCTTCTGCCACAAAGGCCACCTCAAACCACTTGCGCTGGAAGCTGGCAAAGTCATCCACTCCTGCTGTGTGCCAAGTTGCTGTGTGCTGCTGCGTGGCCACTGGAAAAAGTAGAGGGGAGAGAAGGCTCCCTCAGCACATTTATTTGTTTATTTATTTATTTTACTGCTGCATGCTACAACATGAACTTGAAAACATTACACAAAGTAAAAGAAACCAGTCATAAAAGGCACATATTCATAACTCCATTTATATGAAATATACAGAGTAGGCAAATCTTTAGAGACAGAGAGCATATCAGCGGTCACCCAGGGAATGGAGGAAGGACAGACTGGAGTGACTACCAATGTGGATGGCGTTTCCTTTTTGAGGTGACAAAAATGGTCTGGAACTAGATAGAGGTAGTGGTTACACAACAGCATGACTGTTCCAGATGCCCAATTAAAGTGGTTAACTTTGTTATGTGAACATTACTTCAACTTTATATTCTTAGTTTCAGAGCATATAATGGTAACCTGTTTTGTTTTTCAATTCAAAGGCAAAAACAGGAATTTATTGGTCAAACTTAGACTTTAAAGGAAAAAGTATCAACAGACATATAGTGGCTACAAAGAGAAAAATAAATTCCACATAGATCCACTTCTGTCATGTCCTTCAACAAGAGAACACAATTGAGTGGTACCAAATGAGCTATATCATTTCATACACAACTGCTTAGATTCAGATGTGGAGAAACCATCTGTCTGCAGGATGGGAGTCACTTTTAGGCAAGGTCTTCATGTGTGCTTTGTGTACTAGACACACTGTTGTGAGTCCTGGGTGTCTCCAGGGCTATTATGAGACCTGCTAGAAACTGCTCCCCTCTGGGGAATTACTTTTCCTCATTAAAAAACAAACAAAGCCAAGGACTAGAGATGTGGCTCAGTGGTAGAATGCTTGCCTAGCATGTTCGAGACCTTGGGTCTGATCCCTAACACTGTAATTAATCAATCAATACAGAGTCAGCCCTCTGGATCTGTGGACTCTATTGAAATTCAACCAGTCACACATCAAAAATATTCAGAAAAAAATTGTGTTTATACTAACCATGAAGACTTTTTTTCTTATCATTCCCTAAACATACAGTATGACATAGTAGTTACACTGCATTAGGTATTACAAATAATTTAGAGATGATATAAACTATATAAAAGAATATGTTTTATATCAGAGATTTGAACATTTGTGGATTTTTGTATCCTAGGAGAAAAGGCATCCTAGAACCAATCCCCCCCAACACCAAAGGATGATTATTTAAAGCTGAACTTGGAAAATTTGCTAGGACTAAGTAGTCTTGCTGAGGAAACAAATCAAGCCTGGAAAACCAGCAAGTAAGAAGTGATAGATATTGTGAGAAGCCACAGATTGGAGCTTATCATATTTCATCAGAACCACTTGTACTGGGTGGTGGGAGTAAGACACTACAATTAAAAATGGTTACCAGGGCCAGGGATTTAGCTCAGTGGTTCCAGCGCCTGCCTCGCAAGCGCAAGGTCCTGAGTTTGATCCCTGGTACCAAAAAAACGGTTACCAAAAACACCTGTGGGAATTTCTCACACCAGGTCCCTTGGTCTCTTTTATGTTTATCTCCCACCTACATTGTCCTCAACAAGAACATATTGTAGCTTAAGAAAATCTTGTTGCTCTGGTTATACTTAAGTAGAAATGATCAAGAAGTTGACAGATCTGTCAAAATCACACCCTGAGCTCAAGAAGCACTGTCATGGGCAGGGGATTTGGCTCAATGGCGCCACTCCTGCTTCATAAGCTCAAGGTTCTGAGTTTGATCCCTGGTACTTGGAAAAAAAAGAAGAAGCACTATCATATGAAGCACTGTAACCAGGAAAAACACCAGCCCCTGTTGGCAGCTGCCTTTGCCTTGGCTCTGACCTCGATCAGGTTCTTTATCCATTACTATCTTGTAGAAGTAGAAGCCATAGATGAAGGTCCGCCAAGCTTCACCAGATGCGTGTGTGATGAGCTGTTCTTCCAGCATTTTCTACGAGAGATAATGAGATTCTGAATTCCCACAGAGAGATATATCAAAAGGGCAGCCCTCTGTTATGCAATGGAGTCAGGGAGTGACAGGAGCACTGAGGAGACCCTCCCCTCTCTCCTTCCCCCACCATTAGATAAGAAGGTTGCACTACAGTAAATGTTGTACCTGATCTAAACTATATCAAAAGATTTAAAGGCATATTATGTTAGCAAATGTTTCAAATTTACAGAAAAGTATAAAGAAAACCCAAGTAGATCACCATCCAGTTTTAGTAAATTTAATATTTTGCTATAACTAGCCCCCATTCATCTGACAGGGATATGTTCCAATGAAAGGATGCCTGAAATCATATAGTATCAAATCCTATACATAAAGTCAGCCCTCCAGATCTATGAATTCAACCAACTCCAGATCAAAAATATCTAGAAAGGGGCCGGGGATTTAGCTCAGTGGTTTCACTGCTTGCTGCGCAAGCACAAGGACCCAAGTTCAATCCCCAGTACAAAAAAAAAAAAAAAATCTAGAAAGAAAATGTTACATTTGTACTAAACATGTACAGACATTTTTCTTGTCATTATTCCCTAAATAATACAGTATAACAATTATTTACATAGCATTTACACTGTATTAGGCATTATAAGTAATCAGGAGATGATTTAAAGTATATGGGAGAATAAATGTAGGATATATGCAAATATTATGCCATTTTATATAAGGAACTTGAGTTATGCAAATTTTGATATTCAGTGGTGTTCTGGAACCAATTCATAGACATTGAGAGACAACTGTATTGTTTTTGTCCTGTATGTATATACATATGATGAAGTTTAATTTATAAATTAGGCATAATAAGTGATTAACAACAATAATAAAACTGAACAATTATAAGAATATACTATATTAAAGGTTACTTAAAACTTTTTTTTTTTCTTTGGTACCAGGGATCGAACTCGGGTCCTTGCGCTTGAGAGGCAGGCGGTGGAACCACTGAGCTAAATCCCCAGCCCTACTTAAAACATATGAATTATTTATTTTTGGAATTTGCCATTTAATATTTTTGGACCTTGGTTTGACCACAGGTAACTAAACCTTGGAAAATGGAACTGTGGATAAAGGGCATTATTGTATTTTTTTTTTCCTGGTACCAGGGACTGAACTCAGGACATTGAGTTTCCAAGGCAGGCACGGAGCCACTGAGCTAAATCCCTGGCCCTGTACTTTTTTATTTAAAAAAAAGTCCCTATGGATTCCTCCAAATCCCATTCCTCTTCCTCTCTTCCCAGAAATAAATATAGTAATACTGTCAAGTATGCTTTTTAAAAATGTTATTACATAGGGCCAGGGATTTAGCTCAGTGGTTCCACTGCCTGCCTTATAGGCACAAGGACCCGAATTCGATCCCCAGTACCAAAAAAAAAAAGGTATTATGTAGACATACATTGGCATGAGAATGAGGTATGCTTGTGGGATTTTAAGTGTTAAATAAAGGACATGATATCATTTTATAAGCTGTTTTCAATCATATGGTGCTTCTGAAATTTACCTATCTTGATATGTATACTTCCAGCTCTTTTTTTTTTTTTTTTTGATACCAGGGATTGAACTCGGGTCCTTGTACTTCCGGGGCAGCCAGCAGAACCACTGAGATAAATCCCCGGCCCCCTGGCCCTCAGCTCTTTCATTTTCACTGCTTTAATAGCACTAAAATTACCAGGGAAAGGCTATGCAAAATAGCACACTGAGACCCTTAAAGGGCCAGGGATTTAGCTCAGTGGTTCTGCCACCTGCCTCGCAAGCACAAGGTCCCGAGTTTGATCCCTGGTACAAAAAAAAAAAAGAGAGCGAGACCCTCACAGAGAGAAGTGAAGATTACATACCTATTCAAACCAATTTTTGATTTTACATTTCAGTGATAACAACCCAGCTGGTCAACAGCTACTGATTTCTAGCAGGGACCCTAGTATGAACAGGATGGCACGAACTGCCTCAGTCAATGTGACCTTACCCATCCCTCTCCTCTCATGTTGAATTCCAGTTCTGAACAGTGGAATTAAATTCAGCAAATAGCTGCTAAGTGTCTACCACATGCCAAGCAACATGCTAAGCAATGGTGATATGGAAATAGACAATAAGAAGTGGCCCTCTGGGCTGAGGATATAGCTTAGCGGTAGAGCACTTGCTTACCATGCACAATGCTCTGGGTTTGATCCTCAGAGGGGAGTAGGGGTTTGTAACCCCCTTGTCTAGGCAGGAGACAAAAGAGATAAAGACTTGGGCTGGGGATTTAGCTCAGTGGTTTCACAGACTGCTGTGCAAGCACAAGGACCCGAGTTCGATCCCCGGTACAAAAAAAAAAAACAAAAAGAGATAAAGACTTATTTTTCATTCTGGTACAGTAAGAGCTCTCAGAGTAGTACAGGGCACCAGAGGACACTGATGCAGAGCTTGGCTCTGGTCTTGGATAAACAGGCATTAACCAGGTTACAACAGGTTCCTGAGGTCATGGGGACAGTGTTCTCTGAAAATCTTTCACAGAGAGTGCTCACTTCGGCAGCACATATACTAAAATTGGAACGATACAGAGAAGATTAGCATGGCCCCTGTGCAAGGATGACACGCAAATTCGTGAAGTGTTCCATATTTTTTCTTGGTTTTTGTTTTTGGTACCGGAGATCGAACTCGGGACCTTGTGCTTGCAAGGCAGGCTGCAGAAGCACTGAGCTAAATCCCTGGCCCTATTGTTCCATATTTTTTTTTTTAAAAATCTTTCACAGAGATTTCTCTGAAGCTCAAAAGTGCACAGATTCCATTCAGATAACAAATTCTGTCAGACTTTTAAGTCCAGGTAAAGTATATTTCAAAGCAAAACCTTTCCTTTTATCAATTGCAGATAGGTTTCCTACTTATTAAAAACATCCCCTCTGCGCAAGCGCAAGGACCCAAGTTTGATTCCTGGTACCAAAAAAACAAAACAAAACAAAAAAACAGATCCTCACACGAAGCAACAGATCTCAGCACTGCCTTGGGTGACTACTTCCGAAGCAGGGCCTGGTGGTTTTATGAGGACCTAAGCTGCCGGTTCTGTGGGCCCAGCCTTGCTACCTCACCTGCATGATGTCAATGGCCATCGCCTGCGTCTGGACCCCCTCCACATTGTTCATCAGCCAGTGCACCACCTCCGCACTGATGAAGCAGCATGGTGAGAGGCCCTTCTGTTCAGACAGCAGCTGCACTCCTGTCCTAGGTTCCAAGGCAGTAACCAGGGTATGTGTGCCCAGGGGCAACAAGCAGAAAAAAAAGACAAGAAAGTACTCCCATAAAATCACCTACTACTGGAAGTGAGGACCCTGTATAGTAATTTCTCTAGAATATGCAATTCATAGACTGAGAGAGCACTCCTCAGGACAAGACCAAAAAAAAAAGTACGGGGAAACAGAAGAAGGGGAGCAGAATGGAACCCACATTAGAGAATACCCTAGTAGGCACTATACTTAACTATTTCATTTAATCCTTTTAACAACTGTGCTTAAATCACTTTTTTAAAAATCCCATCATACAAAACAAAAGAAAATGAAATATAAAAGAAATAATAATAACAAATCCAATTGTACAAACAAGGTAACAGATGCTCACAGAGTCAAGTAATTTGCCCACAGTCCAATCTCACAGCTGGTGAGCTGCAGAGACAGGTATGAACCCACCCACCCACACTCCCTGAACATTACCATGGCATAGGCCTCCTAGGACCTCCCAAACCTCCTATCCCTGCACCATACATGTGATAAGTCACTTACGAGGGGTGCTTCATGGCTTCTAGGATCTCTACCAGGGTGGAGGATGATGTCAAGGAACTTGCTGCCTGCTGCTGAGAGCTGTAACACAGAGTGTAACAAAGCAAGCACACACATGGTCAAGAGCACAAATATTAGCAACACTCTCAATGTTTTATGGAGATAGAAACCAGGATACAATGGACACTATTGATACTGAAGGCACTCAAGCAAATTTGGGACATCTATACCCTGGGAGTTCCCTACTTCCAAAATATATGTGAGAAAGAGAGGAAGAGGAAGGGAGAGAGGGAAGGGGGGAGAGAAAGAGAGAGACAGAGAGACAGAGACAGAGAGGGTAGGAGGGGAGAGGAAGGAAGAAAGGAAGGAAGGAAGGAAAGAAAGGATATATGTAGGATATATACAAATACTGTGCCATTTTATATACAGGACTTGAACATATGCAAATTTTGGTATCCATCAGTGTCCTAGAACCAATTCATAGATAGTGAGAGATGATAACTGCGCTGTTTGTATAGGGGTGGGGAAGAGGGAGAAGGAGAGAGAGGGAGGGGAGGGGAAAGGAAAAAGAGAAGGAGAAGGGAAGGGAAAAAGACAGAGGAGGGAGGAAAGAAAGAAAAAAGAAAAGAAAAAGAAAGGAAGTAAAGGAGGGAAGAAAAAGGAAGGGAGGGTTGGGCCTGGGATTTAGCTCAGTGGTTATGCCGCCTGCCTCACAAGTACAAGGTCCAGAGTTCGACCCCCGGTACCAAAAAAAAAAAAAGGAAGGGAGGGGGAAGGACGAGAGGGAGGAAAGGGAAAGGGGGGAAGAAAGAAAGAAAGAGAGAGAGAACGAGAAAGAGAGAGGAGAAAGAACGGAAAAGAGGGAGAGAGAGAAGAGAGGGGGAAGAAGAGGACGAGAAGGAGGAAGTGGTGATGGTGCATGCTTGTAATCCCAGTACTCTGGAAGCTGAGGCAGAAGGATAATGAGTTTGAGGCCAGTCTTAGAACTTATCTCAAAAAAAAAAAAGGATTCAAAGTGAACTGATGTCTAAACATAGTCATTCACAATTCCACAATAAGCATCTTCTCTTTTAGTATTATGCTTTAGGCCCAAACATTTTCAAGAAATTTCCTTGGACTACTGTGGTTTCTCCCCAAGGCCCTTCTCAAATCACTTTGTTTAGTCTTGAACCAAGTGTTGGATAATAACAGTCAGAGCCTGAGGGACAGAATTCCAGTATCATAACTAACCAGCAGCTTTTCTTGGCTTTTCATTTGAAAAACTGATGATGCTATTCCAGTCTTTTAGAGTAGTTGTCCAGCACACTACTGAGTATAGGACTGTTGACACATGAAGCCCCAAATGGTAAACAACAGTAACTGACTCTATGAAACTAAGATTGCTTAAGGATCTGGTGAAGAAGGTCAAAGAGCTGGGAAGTATCAGGGTCTGGATTCGAATCCAGGTCAGCCATATCCCAAATCCCAGATCTTTACATTATCTGCTATCCAAGTTCTTCTTTGACAGTATGACAGTCCCTTAAAACATGCTTAATACTCAGCAGCTTAGTGGCCACTCACACCAAATTGGGCCAATTCGGGGGGTTATTCAGAAGCTTTTTCAAGCTTCTTAAACCTCTCTCTTGCCTCCATCCCACACTCTTCTGCTTGCTTATTTGGAGGATTCAGGACTCACTGCAGCATTTCAAAACACTGGGGTTAGGAAAGCCTTTAAGGACCTTTGAAATGAACTTCCTTCTAATCCTGAGTCTCTGCTGAGTGTGAGTCTGGATAAGCAGCTGTCTTCCCTGGATGAAAATCTTCAAAGACAGAGCATTCAGCTCATTCAAATGCTGTCCATTCCATGCAGCAGTATCCAGTACTAGTAAGTTTCTTATGAAATAGAACTTTTCTTTTTAACTTTCAGACACTGGTCCTGATTCTACCTGCCATGCCATTTTTGGTCTTCACACCTTTAGTCTACATACTGTATCCCCAGTTCCTCTTATCTTCCAAAAGCAAAAGAAAACCTGGCGCTGTGCCCTTATAAGCAATGAGGAAGCACAATGATGCACCCCCTTCCCATGCACAGGGCAGCCCCTCCAATCTCTTCGATGGCCAGAACCAAAACGCCATCCAGGCCTGACAGGGATTTGGGCCTAGGAAGAGACAGAGGAGAGACACCTAGAACTGAGCTGATCACTGCCTTCACTGGCCAAAATGAACATGCTGTGGTACGTGAGGCAGGCATAAAGCCAGCATAGAATTTACAACAACCTTCTGCTCTCAGGGACAAGGGTGCAAAAGTCAAGTTTCTTAGATCATTTAGTCAAGGACTGCTCAGTCAGCATAGTGAAGCAACACGAACAGATTATGGAGAATTATTATAAAGCAAACATAGCTGGGAAAGAAATAAAAAAGAATTCTGAAGTGATCTCAGCATGTAAAGCCAGGGCACATTACCCTGTAAATATATACACATTATGTGCTGATTAAAAATTTTAATTAACTTTTCCCAAAAAAGCAAGGGTACTTTCTCAAGCAAATGAGGTACAGGCAGCTTCTCCGCCCGCCCCCCCCCCCCAATACTCAGGAATGAGAAAAGAACTGCCATGGTTGGCCACAATGAATGACTGACTCATTCACTATTCATTTCCTTACTGACTGCATGGTATCTTGTGCGTGGCACTGTGCTGTGGGCACTACAGTGACTAGAACAGACTTGGTTTGGGGCCACTTTTCTGAAGTCCTATATTTCTGCACAGTGCCTGACACTTTCCTATGTCTCTGAGGGAACCTATGTGCCATTCTGTGAGGAAGACAGGATAGCAATCGTTAGCCCCATCCTGTAAGTGTGAGGAAGGAGTGGCTCACTCAGGATCCCACATATTATTTGTGGCAAAATCAGAACTTGGCTCAGAGCTTTGTATTCCCAGTCTCAGTAACCTTTAAAGATTAGACTGTGCTGACCTCCCCTCAGGGAGCATAAGTTCAGTCATTTTGAATCTCACCTGCTGTCACTGGAGTTTGTGGAGGGGAAGGCCTGTTCTATGTTCTGGGAGTTCCCAAAAGCCTGGCTGTTGCCTCTGTCCACAGATTGGCCAGTGCTTACCCCCAAACTGGTGCTATCCAACACTGGAGCAACTGTTTGGTCCACAGACACCTATAGAAGATTTAAAAATTCATATTTGGATCCAAAAATAACCAACAAAAAAACACAGTAAATAAGCTGTTCTAGTTTATTCATTCAACAAGCATTTGTATGAATAAACAAACAAATAAAACCAATACCCCCTCATCTTTACAGCTACTTACATATGTAATCCTCTCCACTGCTCTCATTCCCAGTTCCCAGTGGTCCCAGGTAGAAGAGCTAAAAGAATCTAGACAGCATATCTAGTCTTGCGTGCATTGTCTTCTGGGGACAACTGGGGATGCCCACCCTCCAAAACAAGGCAGATGGGAGGCAGTTGTTCATAATAAATCCTCAGGGTCAAACAAACTATTTCATCACCTGACTTGCAAGATTTATACTAAAAAAACTTCCCATAGAAAGAGTAGTTAGAATAATCCCTTATGAGGCTGGGGAGAGGGAAAGAGAATACATTTATAGACATATGGGTAACCATTACTATGGTTGACCATTACTATGGGTAACCTCCATCTACCCAACTCACCATTTTCCACTCCAATCCTCCTTTTCTGTATCTGTCAGTGAATATTTAGCCTTCTAATTGCTCTGATTCAAACCTGAGAGGCATCTGACATATTTGTTTCAACTTTGTATTCAAAGAGAGGCCTAGTCCTGTGGCCTCCTCTCTGTAGATTCATCTTTATCTTTAAGTCATGCCCACTTTCCTCTGACCAGGGAGGGCTGGAACAGTCTCCTAACTGGGCCCCCTACTGCAATGTCTCCCCCTAAAAGCCTTACCTGTGAGCCACCTCTATCCACATCTGCCTAAAGAACAGTTCCAATGCCATTATTTTGTTACTCTGAAATCTGTGTCTCTGTGATCTCACCATACCACCCACCATTCATCTGCATTTCCAGCCAAATCAAACCTGCTTGTAAACCATGGAATTCCCTTCCCTATAAACACTGCCTAAAACCCCTTGGTCTTGGAAAATAATGATGAAATGGGAAGGGGAGCAAGGAAGGGAGGAGGGATAAAGGAAGGAAGGGACATGAAAATAGAAGGAAAAATGGAAACAAAGCTTTTGTATAGAGAGAGAAGATGGGAGGGGGAGACGAGGGGAGGGGAAAATGGGAAAAAAAGAGGCAGGAAATAGCATGTACAGGTGCAAATTCCCTATGATGAGTGTTATCATTATCTACATCTAAAATATACCAATATATGTTTTGCTTCCAGATAAATAAATAAACTTTTTTAAAAGCCCCTGGTCTTGAGCCATTTCAAATGCCACTCCCTTAGTAAAATGATTTTTGATTTCATTCCACCTGAGTGCCTAAGACTTGGACCTCTATGAATTTCTCTTAGTAGCTGCCAGGTTTTGCTTCATACAATAATGTTATATTTGTCTCATTTCCTTTAAGGGCCCTGGAGGGCAGGACTATGCCCTGCTTACCTAGAATTCCTTTTCGGTTTCCATTCAAGGTTGCATACCACAGCAAATATTTGTAAAGAATTACTAATCCTCCTGGAGCACTTCTGGAAAAGTACACAGCTCTTAACTTGTGGTTCTTGGATACTAATTCCAGAATGGAGTCTTGAATTATCAGATATTTTGTTAGATGATATAAACATTAATCTTTCTAAAACAAGGTATCTCGGGCTGAGGATTTAGCTCAGTGGTTCCCCCTCCTGCCTCACAAGCAGAAGGACCCGAGTTTGATCCCTGGTACCAAAAAAAACCCAAGGTATCTCAGTCAAGCACTACTGTCACTTGGATCAAATAAATCTTTGTTGTGGGGGACTATCCTGTGCTCTGCAGGATGTTGGCTCCCACACACTAAATGTGACTAATACCTCCATCCCTAGGTGTGACTAGTTACTAGATATCCCTTGGGGAATAAAATCATCTCAAGTTATAAAAGAACCATTATACTCTCCTACAGCAGGCGCAATGATTCGGGGTTGAGGCAGGAAAGGACCACACAGGTTTTTTTGGCCCCATAAATACCCAGAGAAGTACAGCAAGAGGCAGCATGCAATTGCCAGTCACCATTTGGCTACAACCAGCAAGGTTTAGAAACAGGTGCCATGAGCTAAAACTGAATTAGAACAAGTTAATTGAGGAGAACTAGACCCAGCTCTTATGCACATAAGAATGCCTCATAAGCTCTGCCTTCTAGGGACCTGTACTGGAGTTCTCTCTCATCTAGTACACTCTGAGAATTGTTCTACTAGCTTAAACTGAGGGATATTCCCACAAATTTACATGATTCTTTTTTTTTTTTTGTATTAGGGATTAAACTTGGGACCTTGAGCTTGCGAGGCAGGCAGCATAACCACTGAGCTAAATCCCCAGCCTTACATGATTCTTTCTTTTGGTAGCATGTGGCTAAGGAGTTATCTTCTAAATCACATGCTGGCAAACATTTTCTATAAAGGATCAGATAAAAAATGCAACAGGTTTTGTGGGCCATGTAGTCTCTGTGATAACTACTGAACTGTGCACAAGAAAGCACTAAAACAGCCACACACAATCTGTAAATAAATGTGGTTCTGTTCCAATAAAACTTTATTTATAAAACAAGATGGTGGGCCAGATTTGCCCCACAGTTGCCTGACCCCTGCTCTTTATCACACAAATTTGTCTTTCATGAGGCTACACATTTTGCTCAGATCTTAATACCAGGAAAAGTTATGCTTCTCCTGAAGAACTGATCTGACCACTCTGGGAGCAGATGTTTCCCACATTTTTTTGGCTACCAGGAAGTCAGAGATGAATTTAGCACAAAACTCTGGCTACTTTACAAGGCATTATATTATACCTTATCTTATTTTTTCATTTCCTGAATTTCCCCTACCTAGGCACATTTTCACTCTGGAAGCTGCATTTACTCCCACAATCCACCTACAGTACTTTTTTTCTCTCAAGTACTGGAATTGAAGCTAAGAAGCCTTGACCTATATATCGCCCACACTTTTTAGGGTTGTTTTTCTTTGTTGTTGTTGTTGTTGTTCTGAGGTTTGCTTTGTTTTGTTTTTTGAGTCTAAGTTGTACAGGTTGGTCTTGAAATGTCAAGCCTCCTGTCTCAGCCTCGTGAGTAGCTGGGATTATAGGCATGTGCCACCAGGCACAGCTTCCAGTAACTTTTTAAAATAAGACTAGCAGTAGACAAGAAGAAAGAGCAAGCTGGATGGACAGAACAGCTGTCACCTCAAGTAGAAGCCTGGCAAAGAGCCAAGTTCCTTGGGTGGTGTTCATTCATAATGCACTTTATTTGAACAAGCCCACCCAAAATCTTCCTCACAAAAAGGGTTCCATTTAACATATGTAGATACCCCTCCTCTTTAGTGGGCTAAACATAGTGACTTGCCCCAAAGAACAAAGTATAAAAGGGGAAAAATAGGAATTTCACACTGGAGACACCAGGCAATACAACATTACCAAGTGATGAAGGTCACCCATTACAGGGATGTCATGCAGGTCTCATATACCATCAATATGATGTGATAAGAAGGGTACTTCACTTCACTTCTAGGATATTAAAAAAACAAAAACAAAAAAACAAGCCATAACTCCAATCTAACCAGGAGAAAAATATCACGAAAACCAATTTTGGAGACATCCTATAGGATACCCTGGCACTGCTGCTCTGCTCAAGTGGGACACTATCCCCTGGTACCTAAATAAATAAATAAATAAATAAAAATAAAAAACAAGGAAATGGAGCTGGGGATGTAGCTAAGTAGTAGAGTGCATGCTTAGCATTGACAAGGCCCTGGGTCCTATCCCCGGCACAAAAGAAAAGAGAGAAGCTGGGTATGGTCATGCATGGCTGTAATCCCAGCACACTGGGAGGCTGGGGCAGGAGGTTCACAAGTTCAAGCCCAGGCTGGGCAATTCAGCAACTTAAAAAGGGACAATGTCTCTCAAAATAAAAAAATAAAATAAATAGTGTTAGAGATGTGGCTCAATATGAAGGCCCTGGGTTCAATTCCCAATACAGAGGGGGAAAGGGGAGGAAACACCAGTACAAAAACAAGGGGAGACAGAGGCATCCTAAGGAGACCCATGACAGAATCCCATATACAGTGGAGGTGAGCAGGAGGGCCTGAGAATAACTCCCAGGCCCACAGCCTGGGCATTCTCCAAGGCTTATGGTATCAGGGAAGAAAGGCATATCCCAAATAAAAACCCTCTCCCTGCCCTCATAGAGTTTACCATCTGGTGTGGGGGGGTATGACACACGTTAAGAAATACTCTAAGGCCAGGTGTTGTGGCACATGGCTGTAATCCCAGCATTCTGGGAAGCTGAGGCAGAAAAGCTAAAGTTGCCCAGAAGAAGCCCGGGGAATTCAGAGACTTAGTGAGACCCTGTTACAAAATTAAAGAATAAAAAGGGCTTAGGTGGGGATGTAGCTCAGTTCAAAAGCCCTGGGTTCAAGGCCCAATACTGGGTAAAAAAAGGAATTAAGGTTTCATTCATTCCTGCATATTTTATGGCACTTTGCATGGCTCTTACCCAGCAGGTGCTTGGTATTTGCTATCTCAATTGAAATAAATTTTCTGCAGGTATTGCCTCCTTCTTCCCTTTGTGAAGTTATCCCTTTGTGAAAGGTTATCCACAAAACATGAGCTATCAGTAAGTACACATATAATACGATAAATATGTGAGACAATCCAGTGAAGAGAAAACAAGTGTAGAAAAAAATGTAGACTTCTGGTCTAGAGACTTTCTGATCTAAGACAACATTTTAATATCTGGAGTTGTGCCAGGCAATACAGCAGCAACTATCTGTATATGGCTGTTTAAATATAAATTAACTAAAATAAAATTTAAAATTCAGTTCATGGGCCATATTAGTCACACTGTAAGTAGCTCAATAGCTATAAGTGACTAAGGGCCACTGTGCTGGACAATGCAGAAGAACATTGCCTTCACTGCCAAAAGTTCTATGGAACAGCACGTTCCAGACCAAAGGTTATAAACAAAAAATATGTACTGGGCTGTGGTTATAACTCAGTGGCAGA